AGTAGCAGCAGCAGCAACCCAGACTGACAGCTCATTGGATAATTAGGATCACGTGCAGCCTGGAGCCGGACGCTCCAGATGGCTTTACCGTATTAACAGGAGAAGCAGCGCAAGTAAATTTAGACAGTCGTCGAACAACATGCGCTAATTTATAAATGTTTTAAATCAGGTTGGGTCCTGATTAGCCAGCAGGTGGATCCGGATCCGGATCTGGTCTGCTAATACGTGACCTATGGACTATAGTGTTGTATTACATTAATAAAAAAAATAAATAAATAAAATAAAAAAGTTAATTTTTAGATGCTAGCTTCAGATATATATTGGTATAGACAGATATATACAAACACTAGCTTCATCTGTTTCTAATGATGTTGTAAAAAACTCCTGTTTAGTGGAAAAACAGCTTACTTACAGCTTTTTGTACAATCAGTCCAGATGCTGGTGAAGATTCTCAGTCATCCCGGTCACAGTCATTTAAAAAAAAAGTTAAAAAACAATCCACTGGACTTTGTTTCTAAGTTTGAAGACGTTTGGATTCCCATCCAGGAACCTTTTTCAATTTAAAGTGTCAGAAATAGCGTTGAGTTTGAGACTTCTTGGATGGGAAGCGAAATGTCTTCAAACTTGGAAACAAAGTCCAGTGGATTGTTTTTTTGTTTTTCTTTTAAATCAGTCCAGATTTACCCTGGAAAACAGTCTCCTTTCCTATAATATAGCAGAATTTAAGCTGTAAATCAGATTCCAGCGGTACCATTAAGGGCGGATTATACTTCTGCATCTGCCCACATCAAATGCTGCTAGCATGGTCGCAAACCAGTTTCGCTGCTATGCTTCTGCAACGTCGTTCTGGAATTTCTAGGGAAGCACAGCAGGGGGAGCCTATTCAAGAACTTACGAGAACTTCGGCGGATGGTGACGAGAACTTCTTCGGCGGCGCCGGTGGGAGTTTTTATTTTCCAAAACAACATGTCTGAGGCATCGTACAAGTAGGGTTGTCACGATACTAAACTTTTCAACTCGATACCGATACTAAGGAAAAAATTTGATACTCGATACCATTTTCGATACCACAAGGATAAAAACAAAGACTCCAAAATTCTACAGAAATATTTTCATTAATAAATAAAATACAATAAATAAATAATAAAGGTTGTATGCTGTGCAGAATATCAAGCAAGCTTGATTAAAAAAAACCTATAAAATTAAAATTAAGTGTTCCTTCCTTGCTTAGATGCCACTGGTGGTGGCACTGTATCAATACTTTTAAAAACGAGTATTGTATCCGGATACAACATTTCAGTATCGATACTTTTTTGAGTATCGATACTTTTGACAACCCTACGTACAAGTGGAGGTTCGGAAGTACAACTACTTGTACGTAGGGTTGTCAAAAGTATCGATACTCAAAAAAGTATCGATACTGAAATGTTGTATCCGGATACAATACTCGTGACGCACAGCCTCTGCAACCGTCAAATCTGTCTCTGTGCGTGACCACGCCCCCCGCGCAGAGGTTATTTAACCGTTGTCGCGTTCCTCAAAAAAATCCTGACTACACGTCGGATCATCGCAAACCCGCGCAGACCTCAAACAGAAGGGCGAAAACAAAAAGCAGGTGGGCTTGGTCCTTGGTATGCCTTTCCGGCTGTCTGTGTGGTCGTCCTTCTCGAGTTGGTGCTGGGGCACGCCATTTTAAAAAAACCGAGGAGTGATAACAACAACGGATAACCGCGACACTGATCGCCGATCAGCTGTCGCTCCACCAGCTGTGCTGCCCTGTGTGGAATGCCGTAGTACCTATATGAAAAAGCTACTCTGTCTGCAATCTTAGTTAAGATTCAAATTTAAAAAGCTGCTTTTTAACCATTATTTAAACTTTCAGAAAACTATTAGC